CAGTTCCATGACCTCGTCGTGGGGTACGCAAAGAGGCTGACCAAGCCCCAGTCGTTCGGCCTCCGGGCCGTCGAGGAACTCGCAGGTCAGCAGGTAGTATTTGGCCTTGGCCATGCCGATGAGCAGCGGCCAGATGGCTGCGGGCGTGGTCTCCGGCAGCCACTCCGAGTACGCACATGGCCGTCGTGACGGCGCGCTCGAAAGCGATGGAGATGTCGGCCAGCAGTGCCACGGCGAGGCCCGCGCCCACGGCGACGCCGTTGATGGCGGATATGACCGGTTTGTCGAGGTTGATCATGTTGTGGACGATGTCGCGGGCCTCCTGCATCGTGCCACGATCACCTCGGCTGTTGCCGATGTCAACTGCTCGATCATATCGAGTCGCCGCGGCGGAGAATGCGTTGCCCGCGCCGGTGATGACCGCCACACGGACCTCTGGGTCTGCCCGATGTCGAAGCCACACGCGGCTCAACTCGTTGTGCAGGGTGAATCGGTGGCGTTGAACACCTCGGGACGGTTCATCGTCAGGAGGGCGATGCCGTCATTCTTTTCGATGATGATGTCCTGGTAGCCGCTGTAGTCAACCATCTTTTCTATATTCCTTGCGCCAATACCTCGTGGGAACTAGTAAAGCGAGCCATCCTCCGAGAGTCTTTCAATCTCTGACTCCGACATGCCGAGGATTTCCCGGAATACGTAGTCGTTGTCCTCGCCGACGTTACTGTAGTGCCCGAACTCCATGGGGGTTTCGGAGAGGCGCGCCGGGGTGGTCCAGGAGAGGCTGTCGCGTTTCTCCCACTCCCAGGCGGGGGTGCCGCGCTCGGCGACGTAGTACGGCGTGGGCCGGTAGAAGTCGCGGGCCTTCAGGTGTTCGCTGGCGTAGAGGTCATCGCCCTGCGACACGATGCTGGCGGAACGGCTGCTGCATACCCGTCATCGCGCGTCGTCGGCGGTGTGCCGGGCCGTCCACTCGCCAATCAGGGAGTCTAGACGGTCCTGGTTTGCCAGCCTTCCCTGATTGGTGGCGAAGTCGGGCTCGTCGCACCAGTCGGGATTACCGATGGCGCGGCGGAAACCGTCCCATTCCTCATCGTTCTGCACCGCAATGGCGCACCAGCGGTCCTCTCCCTGGCACTGGTACACGCCGTGGGGAGCGCAGTATGTGCCGCGGTTGGCGATGCGTTCGGGCAGGCGGCCGTTGGCTTGGTAGTCCAGGATAGATGGCCCCGCCGTTATCGCGCCGGATTTGAATATCGAGGACTCCATGGTGGCGGGTTCGCCAGTCAACCGGCGACGCATGAGAGCGCCGATGATGGCCGAGGGCTGGAACACGCCGGTGTGGTAGTCGGAGTAGGACGTGTTGATGGCCGAGGGCGGATCGCCTTCATTGCCGGACATCAGCGAGACGCCGCCCATGTGCTGGACCAGGATGCCGTAGGACTTGTAGGTGTAATAGGGGCCGATTCCACCCAGCCCGGTCTGCCACATCAGGATTATGTCAGGTCGGAGCTCGCGGACCGCCGGGAAGTCGATGCCCCAGCGATCCAGGATGTTGCGGCGGAAGTTGGTCATGAAAACGTCGCTGGTCTTGACCAGCTCCTGGAACACCTCCAGCCCTCCCGGTGTGCGGACGTCGATGGAAACACGCTTCTTGTTGCGCTGGAAGTCAGGCTGGCCGGCGCCGCGGGACCAGCGGGGATGAAGGCCATTTCGTCGAGTACCTTGTTGGTCTCGACTTTGATGACCTCGGCGCCGAGGGAGGCCAGGATGCGGCCGGTGAGCGGCAGTGCGACGTAGGGGCCCAACTCGAGCACGCGCACGCCCTGGAGGGCTTTCTTTCCGTTTTCGATCACCTAAATGACCCCCTGATCCCTTAGCGATGACATCTCTTCCGCGGAGAGTCCCAGCTCGCCAGCGTAGATGGTCTCGTTGTCCTGCCCGAGGCTGGGAGCGGCATTGGTGGCGGGCGAGACTTGCTCGCTGTCGAACACGCCCTGGGGATACTGCAGTGTTCCGGCCTCCGGGTGGTCGATGCCGAACCAGAAATTGCTGGCCTCAAGCTGCGGGTCGGCCAGCAGGTCTGAGACCGTGTTGACCGGGATGAAGACCAGGTTGCGGCGCTGGCCCTCGTGGAACAGGTATTCGCTGGTGTAGCGGGTGGTGAAATCGATGACGAGAGCGGTGATTATGTCGTTGAAGGGCGCTCGGTCCTGGTTGCCGCCCTTGTAGGCTTCGTTCAGGACTTCCTCGTTGCCGGTTACCTCGTAGATCCATTCGGATTAGTTGTCCCACTCGCGGGGAGTGATGATGCCCGCGGATATCCAGCCGTCGGAGCTGGGGTAGGCGCCGAGGGGAATGACGAGGGTGGAGGTGGCGCCGACACGGGTGACGTTGTCGCCCAGCATCATGTGGGCCAGCGCCGGGTGGGCGTCGGTGTAGTAGGTGATCAGAGCTTCCTGCAGCGATACGTCGATGTGCTGGCCCTCGCCGTCACCGAAGTCCCGGTAGTAGAGAGCGCCAAGGATGGAGGCGGCGGCAAACTGCGCGCCGGGGAAGTGGGACTGGCCGTTGCCCTGCCGCATCGGCGGGCCGTCCGGTTCGCCGGTGATCTGCATGAATCCGCTGGATGCAAGGGCGATCAGGTCGTTGGATTTGTAGTCCTTCCAGGGGCCGGTCTGGCCGAAGGGGGTTACGGAGGCCACGACGACGCCGGGGTTGATGACCCTCAGGGCCTCGTAGCTCAGTCCCAGGGAGTCCATGTAGCCTACGGGGTAGCTCTCCACGACCACATCGGTCTGGGCGACGAGGCGGCGGAACAGGTCGCTCCCGCGCTCGGACTGGAGATCTAGGGTAATGGAGCGCTTGTTGGTGTTGTAGAAAAGGAAGTACAGGCTGCGATCCGGCCCCTCCCTGTCGTCGACGAACGGGCCCCGGGAGCGAGAGGGGTCACCGCCGGGAGGCTCCACGCGCACCACGTCGGCGCCGTAGTCGGCAAGCAGCTTGCCGCAGAACACCGCCTCCGGACCGCTCAGGGTCGAGCACGCGGTAGGGCGGGAGTAGGCGGCCTTCGTCAGGGATTTGAAGGGGCATATAGCAGCGGCGTTCCTATTCTGGATGCGTCCGGCGTTTCGTTGGCGCCGGGTGGCGTCGGGATTGCAGGGCATCGGGATTGTAGGAAGGTGGGGATGGGGCGTCAAGTTACCCCACTTCCAAGGGCAATCCCATTTGTTTATTTTGATGACATTTGCCCCTTGCCAAGCCTTGTGACTCCTCCGTACCATATCTCCATAATGCTTTTGTATGTTCGTATGGCCGCTGTTATCCACAATGTTCTAGGCCTGTTTCCAGTGGCCGGAGGGCCGTGGCGTCATCCGCGAAGCGGCCGGAAACGCCGCGTAGGACAGAATGGGACGGGAATCGCAATTTTCCGGCAATTTCGCGAAATTCCAGATAGGGCGAGGCGTGAATTTGGGACAAAATGGGACTCGGATGGGAAAACCCTGTCCCATTACAACCCCCATTCCACATCCGCAGGATTTTCTCTGGCGGATGGCCGTTCTCGATTCCCTGTGCGGCTATGTAAACTGCTTGGCCTAATGAGATAGCCCTGCCCCACTCCCTTGCTCGTCGGTCTCGACGAATGTGCGCTGTTATAATGCGGCGTCTGTCCGTTGGAACTGGCGCAGACACCGGGAGCCGCATTGACCTCTTACCTGGCCGCCACTCGCGACCGCTTCCTGCTTGGGCTGAAATACGCCGACTACCGGACCATGTGGATCGCCACAACCTGTTCCGGTGCGGCGGCGTGGGCGTTGATCGTGGCGCGGGGATGGCTGGCGTGGGAGTTGACGGGGGAGTCTACGTGGGTAGGAATCATCACCTTTGCGGCGATGTTCCCGCGGGTGTTTTCGACGCCCATCGTTGGTTACCTGGCCGACCGTTTCGATCGCCAGACCATGCTGCGGTGGATATTCGCCCTCAACCTGGCCCACAACATCCTGCTGGGCTTCCTGGTGATGAACGGGATGGTGGGGCCGTGGGTGCTGATGCTGTTGGCGCTGGTGAATGGAACGCTGCGCGCCGGGCAGATGACGGTGGCGCAGGCGCTGATCCCGAACCTGGTGCCGAGAGAGCACCTGCTCAATGCGCTGGCCCTGAACCAGGCCACGCAACAGGGCTCGAGGCTGCTGGGGCCGCTGGCCATCCTGCCGTTGCTGAGCTTCTTCAACCTGGAGGCCGCTTTCTGGTTCTGCAGCGTGTTCTACCTCATCGGGTTCGTGCAGGTTTCCCGGGTCCGGACCCGGTCCACCGGTGAGATTGATGCGTCGCGGAGCTTCTGGAGCAACTTCGGTGCGGGGTTTGAGTATATTTACACCCGTCCGCGCCTCCTGGCGATGGTGCTCATAGCGGTGGCCCACTGCGCTTTTACCATGTCATACGAGTCGATCCTGCCGGCCATTTCTGAGGACAAGCTGGGCGCCGGATCGGTGGGCGTCAGCTACCTGATGGGCGGAGTGGGGACCGGTGCGCTCGTCACGTCGATATTCCTGGCGGGAGTCCGCGGACCGTCGGCGAGAGGAAAGATCTTCCTGCTCTTCAGCCTGCTGAGCGGGGTCGCTCCCATACTGCTCGCTTTGTCGACTATGCGGGAGATATCCATTCTCGCCACGGTACTGATCGGTGCGACACAGGCAGGCTTTATGACAATCAGCCATACGGTGATCCAATCGCTGACCGACGACTCGGTACGTGGCCGGGTTGCGGGGGTCTATTCTGTGCACGTGGGCGGCAGCATGGCAATCACCAACATGATCGGCGCAGCCATCGCCGATGTGTTCACCGCACCGGCGGTGATGTTTGTAGGCGGGCTGGTGTTCCTGGGCGCCGTGATGTTGAGCTTCGGAAGCCCCTCGCTGCGCCGCATCTATTTTCCTGCCCCCGCCGTCCCCGCGGCGGCCTGACTTTAGGATGTTGTTATTTCCACTGCCGGAGGAAGTTCCATGAGCAATGAACGGGACCGCTACATCGAATTGACCCCCAAGTCGAAGGCGGCGTGGGAGGAGGCGAAGCAGTACCTCCCTGGCGGGGACAGCCGGAACTCGATCTTCTGGCCTCCGTACCCCATCTTTGTGGAGGGGGCCAAGGGTGCTCATGTGGTGGACGCCGACGGCACCGACCGGCTGGATTTCATCGGTACCATGACCACTCTGATTCTCGGGCACGCCCCAGAGCCGGTGGTGGACGCGGTTCGAGGGCAACTGGAGCAGGGCGTCGTTTACAACGCGCCGAACCGCCAGCAGGTGCGGTTGGCCAAGTTGCTGTGCGAGCGGATTCCGAGCTTTGACCTGGTACGGTTCACCAACTCTGGCACAGAGGCCACGCTGAACACCATCCGCGCGGCGCGGGCGTTCACCGGCCGTAGCCAGATCGCCAAGGCGGAAGGCGGCTACCACGGCAGCCACGACGTGGTGAGCGTCAGCGTGCGGGTCGACCCCAGCAAGGCTGGAGAGAGGCTGCATCCCGACGCCATGGCGGCGACAGAGGGGCTGGCCGACGGGGTGCTGGACTCGGTGGTGGTGATTCCATTCAACGAGACGGGACCGGCCCGAGAGATTCTGGAGAAGCACAAGAACGACCTGGCGGCGATCATCGTCGAGCCGATGCTGGGGTCGGTGGGGATGCTGCCCGCAACCCACGAGTTTTTGGGGATGCTCAGGGACTTTGCCACCGAGAACGGTGTGGTGCTGATCTTTGACGAGGTGATCAGCTTCCGGATAGCGCCGGGCGGGTCGCAGGAATACTACGGGATTACGCCGGATATGACCTCACTGGGCAAGATTATTGGCGGTGGATTCGCCGTGGGAGCTTTCGGAGGTCGCGAGGACATTATGGAGCTGTATGACCCCACGTCCGGCCCAAGGGTGGCGCACGCCGGGACATTCAACGCCAACCCCGCGACCATGCTGGCGGGCGCCGTGACGTTGGAGCAGTTGACTCCCGAGGTCTACCGGCGGCTGGCGGAGCTGACCGAATACCCTCAGGCACGGCCTGCGCGAAGTCGGGCAGGAACTGGAGGTGCCGGTGCAGGTTACCGGGCTGGGATCGCTGTTCGGCATCCACTTCCAGGACGACACGCTGGTTGGTTACCGGGACCTCGCTAGGGCCGACTCCGCATTCCGCCACAACGTGTTCCTGGGACTGCTGAACGAGGGCATCCTGATGGCACCAAACCTGGTGGGTGCGGTGTCAAACGGTCGTGGGCGAGGCGGAGGTTGACACGTTCGTGGAGGCTTTCCGCAGGGTACTCCAGCGACAAGAGTAAACCTGAAGCTATGCAAATCGCAAAAAGAAAGTCCCCGCTCCGATTGGGCGGGGACTCCTCGTTGTCCAATGGTGGATCAGCCCCGTAGGCTAGGCGAAGTCCTCGCGGCGGAACACCGTGGTGGCCTCGACGCGCTGGAGGTCGCCGTCAAAGAAGTCGCCGACAGCCTCGCGCCAGGCAGTGTAGTGGGGCATGCCGCGGTGGGCAGTCTCCCACGCGTCGCGGTTTTCGTAGACCTCATAAAGGTAAAAGGTGTTTGGGTCGTTGTTGTCTGCCAGAACGTCGAACCTCATGCAGCCGGGCTCCTTGGTGTTGGATCCCTCGGCATCGCCCTTGGTGGCCGCGATGAACTCGTCGCGACGGCCTTCCTTGATCTTGACAGTAACGAACAGGGTGAACATTGTCCCTCCATACCCGGGGCCGGCTATTCAGGGCGCGGCAGTGCCGGGCGGCAGAATTTATGGCTCGTCGAACCGCTGGAGCGGGCGTACGATGGCATAATTATAGACTGCGGCCTCTGACAGCGGCAAACGGGCTTGCGGTTGGCTAACCCGAATGCACCGTTGTAGAATTGGCTTGCAATGGCGTCCATCCGAAAGGTCGCCCAAGGCAAAGGAGGACCCGATGGCCGACATACCTATCGTGTACACCCTTACAGTTTGACCTGCCTGCGATGCTCTGCGCGGCGCGTGGAAACGAGAGGGAATTGAGTACGAGGAAAGACGGGTAGACCAGAGCCAGGACACATTGGAGGAGGCGCTGGACTACGGAGATGCCGTGCCCATCATCCTGTACCCTGACGGCAAGGTGGAGGTGGGCTACAAGGGAATGACTGGTTGAGAAATCGGCTGACGGGCCGTGTGCCCGCTCCGAGTGTACCCGGCGAGATACTAAACTGACGCTGACGGGGGCAATATGGCGAGAGAGACTAGCGTAGTAACCCCGGAGAGGTATTCACAGGGCTTCGACTACCTGGCCTACATGAACGAGATCAAGGTAAACAAGGCGCGTTTTGAGGGTTTCTATGAGGCATCCATTCTCTCAGATGAGGACGTGCGGGCCCTGAAGGACCTGGTGTCGCGGGAGAATGGCCCCAAGAAGATGCTGGTGCTGGGCGAGGACTGGTGTGGCGACGTGATCCGCGGGATGCCGGTTCTGGCGCGCATATGCGAGGCATCCGGCATGGAGATGCGCATCTTCCCACGCGACACGCACCACGACATCATGAACGAGTTCCTGAAAGAGGGACAGTGGATGTCGATACCGGTGGCCGTCTTCTACACCGGCGACCATGATTACATCTGCCACTGGATCGAGCGTCCGGCAGTCGCCGAGAGGGAGATGCACCAGATCGAGGTCGACATTCGCGCTGAGAACCCAGATATCGACGACCAGGCCTTCGGACGGGAGCGGCGCGCCCGCACCGCTGCCAAGGCCGACGAGTGGATCGCTGCCACCGTTGTGGAAATCAGGGAGTTGCTGGAGAAAAGCGTCGGCTATCCGTCCCCACTCCCCTGACCGGAGCCGGAACCGGCCTTGTCTGAGGCCGGTTCGTTTCTTCGGGGGTTGTCGCTCCGATAGATGATGAACATCTCTTGCATGGTCAGCGAGTTGGGGAGGCTCACTTTGTTGCCGTCGGAATCCTCGAGAATGATGAAAAAAGGGAGTGAACTCCTTCACCTCCGCTATAAAATTCTTGTCCGATAGCAGCCCGATTTTGTCGCCCACATGCATGGGAAAACGCCAGAACATGATAAAGCTGGCAGTCACGTTACTGAGGATGGACCAGCTGGCGACAAAGCCGATTCCGATGGTTGCCAGGACAGCCCCGGTCGCAGCCAGGAAATTGTGGAAGTCGATGCTCCAAGCGAGCGCCAGCACTCCCAACAGTGCCAGGAAACCAAAAACGCTGACAGCCCGATGGGCGGATGCAATCCTGCTGGCCGCAAATCGGTGCGTTCTGGCGTAATTGCTGATCGCCCTGCGCGCCGCCCATCGAAATAACACGAACAGCAACGGCGCCGCTACCGAAGCGGACAGCTTGAAGATCAGGAGGGTCTCGAGGTTGTCGAAGATCTGACCTGCGCCCATACAAACTACGCCCGGCAATCGGCTGATGAATCCCGAGGAAGGTATCAAACGCCAACCGGCGTGCTCCGGTCAGTTCGAGAAACGGGTTATCAAGCTAATCTGCCTGGCTGGCCTGTGCAGCGAGAGAGGCCTTCTGTCGTCGCGTCTCAGCGACGGCCTCGGGGGTGCCGAGGAACAGGAACAGGGTGGAACCGGCCAGGCTGATGATCGCTATGGCGGCCATCGGAACAAAATAGCTCTGGGTGGCGTCAAACATTATCCCGGCAAACAGAGGGGCCGCGAGCAACATCACGTTCATGGGGATCATGGACATCCCGGTAATGCTGGCGAAGGCTTTGCGTCCGAAGTAAACGCCGCGGATGGCGGTGGTCAGGGGGTTGCGACCGCCAAATCCTATTCCCATCAGGACCGCGAACATGTAGGCCATCCACAGGTCGTCGGCCGTCATCAGCACTACCACCGCGCCCGACTGGATCGCGGAGAATCCGAAGAGCCCCCATCGGATGGGAAGGCGGTCCCCCACGTATCCGCCTATGAGAGTGAACACGGCGGCAACACCGGTGTAGGCACCCACAACCAGTCCGATGGTCTGCAGAGAGAATCCCTTGTCGCTAAGCATGGGGCCCAGATGCACCGTGATGGTCACGATGACGATTGACGAACATGCGTGGCCCATGGTGATCAGCCAGAAGGTCCTAGTCCTTACGGCTTCCTGCCAGGTGTAGTCGGGTTCCTCGTTTGCCGCCGGGGTCGTGGAGGTCCCGGTCTGGCGAGGGCGGGCCGAAGGCTCCCCGTCGGGAAAGAGGCCGAATGCTTCCGGTGCATTTCGGATAAGCCTTGAGACGGGGAAGGCCGCAACGACCAGGAAAATCCCGATGGCAAGGGCGGTAACCCGCCAGCCGGGGCGGCCGGGCACGTCTGGGTCTATGGCAAACGCAAGCAGCGGGACCAGCAGCATACCGCCGATCAGGAACCCTTCCATTGACAGGGCCATGGCAATGGAGCGGTTGCGGACGAACCAGTTGTTTAGCACCGTCATCATCGGCATCCAGGTGCCGAGACCGACGCCCATGCTCATAACGATGAACGCGACGTAGAAGTGCCAAATGTTCTGCATCTGGCTCATTATCACGAATCCGCCGCCCGCCACGACCAACCCGATGAGCACCATTCGCCGCGACCCCAGCTTGTCGATGAGGTAGCCACTGATGGGGCCCATGATCGAGCCTTCCACCCGGCTGAGCGAGAAGGCGATGGAGAGCTGCGTGCGTGACCAGCCGAAGTGGCTTTCCAACACGACGAACCACGCGGTCATGCCCTGGAACAGCGGGACCGTGCCGATGACCATTACGAAGGCGGCCACACCGACGAGAGTCCATCCGTAAAACAAGCCCCGTGGAGAAAGGGAACGGGAAACTCTCATGAATTGTCCACAGGGGTGAATCCGGTCGGAGTGAACTGGAGTTCAGGCGACAAGGGCGTGGAGGCGTGGGGCATTCTAGGAGTCGCCTGCCGCAGGCGCGGTCACGGGGGCCGAAACGGGCTGGGCGGACGGGAGCCTGGGGCGCCGGGAAATCAGAAACATCAACGCGCCAATGGCGTTCAGTCCAGCCAGGGAAAGGAAGGCCAAATCGTAGTCGCCCAGCTTGTCCCGCATAAATCCGGCCATCGGACCGGCGATCAGCAGCATCGCGTTCATCGGCAGGGTGGAGACTCCTAATATCTTTCCAAAGGAAGCGCGTCCGAAATATTCCCCCCTGATGGCCGTAGTCAGTGGAGTTCTCCCACCGAACCCCGCGCCGAACAACACAGCGAAGAGGAAAATCATCTCCAAAGAGGGCGCAAGAACCAGAATGACCACGGCCCCGGCCTGCAATCCTGTGAAGGCAAACAAAGCCACGTTCTTGGGAACCCGGTCCCCGATGTAGCCGCCGAACAACTGAAACACGATGGATACCGCGGTGTAGACCGTTACCACCCAAGCGGTGGTCTGAACACCATAGCCCAAGTCCTTCATCAGGAGTCCAAGCTGGGACATGATGGCAAGAATAATCATCGACCCCAGGCCGTGTCCAAAGGAAATGAACCAGAAAGCTTGAGTCCGCAGTGCCTGCCTTACGGTGAATCCCACCTCTTCGTCGGCTGCCGATACTGCGGCCTGTCCGCCCGAAGCGCGCGACGACGAAGCCGAGTCGCCATCCGGGCTCAAGCCACGGTCTTCTGGTCTGCTGTAGATAAACCGGGGCAAAATCAAAGCGCAGACGAAGACAACTACGGCTACCAGCAGTCCGGTATTACGCCACCCCAGCCTTCCTTCCGGCGTAACCGCATCCCAAGAGAAGGAGCCAATCCAGTTCAACCGCCCCGCCTCCGGGTCAATGGCCCAGGCGATGGCCGGCACGATGGTCATTGCGCCAATGCCCATGCCCACCATTACGAGGCCCATGGCAGTGCCGCGGCGGCGGACGAACCAGTGGTTCATCAGCGTCATAAGAGGCACCCAACCGCCCAGACCTTGACCCATGGACAGCAGGATAAACGCCGCGAGGAACCACCAGAAGGTCTGAGTGAAGGCAAAGAAGACAAAGGCGGCCGAGAGGGCCAGCAACCCGATCATCACCATGCGCCGAGCCCCGAAGCGGTCAGCCAGATAGCCTTCCAGAACTCCAAAGAGCCCGCCCTCGACACGGGTCATGGTCAGCGCGAGGCTAAGTTGAAACCTGGACCACTCGGGAAATGTGGACTGGATCGCCACCACCCACACCGCATTGGCATGGAATACCGGCACCGATGTCAGCGCCATAACCACGCCTGCAATAACAGTCAGCCACCAGCCATAGAAGACGCCGCGCGGCCTCATAACTGGTAAGTGCCGGAGTGCGGTTCTGCTATCGCCATCTGCAACACCGGGCTGCCTCCGCGGACTTCGACGCCCGATTTACCCGGCGCCGAATGGTGCGTTCAATAAACTATAATGTAAAGCGGTTTCTATCATAATAAACGATACAACATGATTCAAGACCATATCCAAGGCGGTTGGACACCTGTTGCAAGCGACCATCGGTGTGGGCGCGAGGGTCTGCCAGGGACAAAGTATGACGATTCCCAACCTGCATGGTACGTGTTACATTAGCCGCTGAGGGGAAGGGGTGTGTACCCCTTTCCGGACGTCAAATGGCCCGGCTTTGGGCATACTCGCAGAAAAGGCCAGTACAAACAGTCTGAACGGAGGACCGATGAATTACGGAATGTTTATGATGCCTTCGCATCCGCCGGAGCGGGAGCTGTACACCGCTCACCAGTGGGACTTGGACTGTCTGCAGTTGGGCGATGAGTTGGGGTTCTCCGAGGCGTGGATCGGCGAGCATTTCACCTCGCCGTGGGAGCCGATCCCGGCGCCAGATCTGATGATTGCGCAGGCTCTGATGCGCACGAAGAACATCAAGCTATGCACAGGTGTGCATCTGCTGCCCTATCACCATCCCGCCGAACTGGCCTGCCGCGTGGCCTACCTGGATCACATGGCCCAAGGGCGCTTCATGTTTGGAATCGGATCCAGCGGCCTGCCCACCGACTACCGTCTGTTTGACGTGGACGGGATGAACGGGCAACACCGGCGTATGACCCGTGAGGCCATCGACATCATCCTCAAGCTCTGGGAAAGCGATGAGCCCTTCGAATACAAGGGTGACTTCTGGGACGTGAACTACCCGGAGCCAATGCTTGACACACTCAAGTTCTTCATCAAGCCCTACCAGAACCGCACCCGCCGGTGGGCGTGGCGTCAGTGAGCATAGGATCGGAAACGCTCAAGATCGCCGGCGAGCGGGGCTTTATCCCCATGAGCCTGGCCTTCAACCACGACTACGTTATCAGCCACTGGGACGCCATCGCCGAGGGCGCCGCGCGTGGAGGCCGGATTCCCAAGCGATCCGACTGGCGCATCACCCGCGACGTGTGGGTGGCAGACTCCGACGACGAGGCGATGGACGGCGCGATCAACGGCATGCTGGGGCGCGTATGGGGTGACTACCTGCTGCCGCTGTTCTCCGCTTTCGGATTGACCCACGTCATCAAGCATGATTCCAGCGTGCCCGACGAGGCAGTGACGCCGGAGTACATGGCGGAGCATGTGTGGCTGGTCGGCTCGCCCGACACCGTAGAGAAGCGGCTGCTCAGCCTGTACGAGATGTGCGGAGGATTCGGAACCCTGCTGACCCTGATCTACGACAACATCGAGAACCAGCAGAACTGGGAGAAGTCCATGAACCTCTTCGCCAATGAGGTGATGCCTCGGTTCGCGGAGCTGAATCCCGACTAGACCAGATCTCCGTGGCATCGAATCCAGAGCGGAAGTGAACGCGATGGGTGGCTCTTACCGGCTGGTGCTGGCAGTCCTTGTGGTATTCGCAACAGCGGGGTTGTCCTTGGCATGCGCCGGGGACAACCCTGTTCCGTTGACTGATATTCCTGAGGCTGAGTCAACCCCGACGGGGCGACCGATGACCTTGCCCACGTCGGATGTATCTGATTCGGCGCCCGAGGAGACTGCCGCGACCTCGGCCAGTCCGGAGCCGACGGCTGCACCTTTCTCGACTACGAGTGCCGAAGGAGCCGCTAAGTCGGTGACGCCGGAACAGGACGAGTCAGGTGATGGTTCGCTGAGAGTCATTGGGTCGTGGTCGGCGGCGATCCCTTCATCCTCAGGCTCCTCGACGCTTCTGTTTGGCAATTCTTCGCCTTCACGGTTGTCTCCCCAATCGGTACCTATACAGGGAGGGCTGACGGTGTCGGCCATGGGATCAGTGACCGTGGCGGCAGATGAGGCCTACGTGGTGATAGTGCCGGAGCAACGGTACGGTCCTTCCGGTCCCGAGCAGATGACGGATGACGACCGCCAAGATATTCGGGACGCCCTGGGCGAATTAGGGGTGTCCGAGGAAGACATCGAGTTCTCCGTGGTGGCCACATATGGTCCCACCTCCATTTCGGTAGAGGTGGAACTGGACCAACTGGGTGAACAAAAGCAACCTATCATCGACGCCGTAGAGGAAGTCATCCGGCGCTCGGAATCCTACGGTATCATTTATGCATTGTCGGAAGAAAACTGCGAAGGTGCCCTCTCGCTGGCACGTCGGGAAGCCATTCCGGCCGCGGAAAGGGCGGCGGATGATCTGTCCGAGGCCCTCGGCGTGGAGCGCGGAGGCGTGACAGGAGCGGTGGAATACCCCGTTGGGACCGTGGCCTACGGATTTGGGTCGCCGGCCCACCCGACCTGCGGAGGTCAATTTCCGGCTCCGTTTCCCGGACTCAAGCCGTTCGACGCGGATTCGGAGGTCGAGGTATCCGTAGGGCTGCAGATCACATACGGCATCAAGTAGCCTGCAGGTAGCGACGCAAGTGCGAGGGGCCGCTCGAAAACGAGCGGCCTCTTCAGTTTCGACCAATCGGCAGAGGCAACCGCAGAAGAAACTGCAGGAGGTTGGCAGCTACCACGCTATACAAAGCGTAAACGGTGCCGGCGACTACGATGGCATGCCATGGCGTCCAGCCCCACAAAACGCAACGGTAGTTGTAACTGATTATCCATACTGGCCCCGCCAAGAGATAGCAGGGTATGGTCAGGAGGGAAAAGGGCTGCCGGAATACGTTGCTCATATCTTGAGGGCTGGGCAACGCGCTATAGGCGGCGTTGGCGGCGACCAGCGTCGCTGCTATCAGTATGAGAGTATCGGAAAGGCCCAGAGACCTGTCGCTTGTCAGAAATATGGCGAGGGCAATGTAGAACGCCCAAATCGCCAGTCCCATCAGGAGGGGAGCGATTCCGATCAGCAGCTCCTTCCCCACGCCAGGCGGGCCCTCGTGCCGCACGTATCCTGCGACGTTGTTGGGGTCATTTCTGATGATGTACCGCACCTCAAGGACCTTGTGCCCCACGGCGTAACAGGCCAACTGGTGGGCCAGCTCATGGAAGAACGAGCTCGGCCAAGTCAGCCAGCGCATTGCTATCGCGCTCTGTATCAGGAGACTCCGGACGGCATTCATCTATCCGGCGTTCCTCTCAACCCAGTAATCGTGGGCATACCAGCACAGTTTCCCGCGGCGCTCGGGTTTGCGTTAATTCCGCCGTAACATTTGGCTCTTATTCTACATGGGGAAGTATCTCAGGTGTTCTCGTCGAAGGCACTTGGACTTTCCGATATTGCCACTGGGGAAGGTGATAAGTTTGACTGTCGCCACTGAATCGACGGCGCTCAAGTTTTACAATGAGTGGCACGACACCGAGGGACAACTACGCCCGCACTACAACGGACTTCACGAAGCCGTATTGTCGATGGGCTTCGAGAGTTTGGCGCAGCGATGGAATCATGCGCAGCGGCAGGTTCATCTCGATGGGGTTACTTTTTACTTAGACCCAGGTCATTACCGGAACATGCCCACCGACTTTCTGCCCCGGGTAATTCCGCCCGGACACTGGGAAACCATCGCGGCTGGGGTAGAACAGCGAATCCGGGCAATCAACCACTTCCTGGTCGGACTGTACAACGATGGGCAGGATGTAGTGCCGGACGAAGTCATTTACACCTCCCAGCATTTCTACCCTGAGGTGCAGGGGTTCCGCCCGCCAAAGGATGTTTTCGTCCACATATACGGAGTAGACCTGGTACACATGGGAGACGGGCGGTATGTAGTGCTGGAAGACAACCTGAGAATTCCATCCGGAATTTCGTACCAACTCAAGTCATTGGCGATGACCGCAGAACTATTTCCTGAATTCGCCGCTGGTTACGATATTCTGCCTTATGACATTCGTGAGGCATACTTGGGAATGTTCAGGTCGCTAACGGAGAATCCGGACCCGGTTTGCGTGCTGCTGACAGACGGCAAGTACGGGTCGGCCTTTTTTCGAGCACAGATACTTGTCGGATTTCCTTGATATCCCACTGGTGGAAGGCCCCGATCTGTACGTGGGCCCAGATGGTTATGTATATGCCCGCACCCTTGACGCCGATGTGAGGGTGGACGTGATCTACCGAAGGGTGGAAGACCTGGATCTGTTTGTCCCCGGACTCGGAGAAGCCTATCTTAACGGCAAGGTAGTGCTGGTTAACGGAGTTGGAACTGGGACCGCAGATGACAAACTAGTCTTCCTCTCGGTACCGGAAATGATAGAGCAGTATCTGGGTCAGACTCCCGTCCTTGAACAAGCCCGCAGCTATAACCCGGCTGAGCCCGACAGCCGCCGATACATTCTTGAGAACCTGGAGAATCTGGTCATCAAGACGCGGCAGGGCTACGGTGGGCTGGGAGTTTACGTGATGCCTGACCTGGGCGAGGGGTACAAAGCACGGGTAGCCAACAACATCCTGCAGAACCCGCTAATGTTCATAGCCCAGGAGACGTTGGATTTTTCCCAGCACATGGTCTTTAATAAGGAAATACCAGCCTTGGAACCTCAAACACGTCGACCTGCGGGTGTTCGCGGTGCAGAGCGGTGATGGTTCCGTTTCGGTTTTTCCTGGCGGGCTAACGAGGGTGGCCCAGAAAGGAAGCAGAATCACGAACAATTCCTCCGGTGGTCTATGCAAACCAACGTGGGTAGTCCGATAGAAACTGTTACCGTATCTTTCATATACGCGGTCAGATACGGGTATTCCGATACGGTTATCCATAATGACAACCAGATCAGAATCTTTCCTCGATACGGAGAAGGGCAGTTTGATTCCCAAACTGAGGTCTGGTCGATTCCATTCGGGCGGGGAGCCGACTTCAAGGACCGTTTCGGCAACCAGGTCCGGCGGTTACGCGTTGTAGAACCCCACACTAATTTCATAGTTGCGGCGGGCGGGAACCTGCGTGTCGCCACTGAATCTCCGGCAGTAGCTGACCTACCTATCAGCCAACTGGCTGATCTGGCCGAGAGCTTCGAATTCACGAGTGTGTCGCCACTGGTAGACCCGGATTCTCTGAGGGAAGCGGCTGCTGACATTGCATCCGGGAACCACCAACTGCTGGTCACAGTGAAGGCGGTAATTGAGTGGGTATACCGGAATATTGTTTACAAGCGTGGCACGACCTCGGTCGGGACTACTGCTGACCAGGTATTGGCGTCGAGTGAGGGTGTGTGCCAAGACAAGACCCATCTTTCCCTGGGCATGTTAAGGGCGCTCCAAGTGCCATGCCGCTATGCGAGTGGCCTGATTACCGGACAGACCGGCGAGACCCATTCTTGGGTGGAGTTCTTTCACCCTGAGCAGGGGTGGCTGGGAGCGGATCCCACCAGGGGAATAATGCTTCCTCCGCCGAGTCATTACGTGAAATTCGGAGTAGGGCGAGACTACACCGACGTTTCGCCGGTTACCGGTTCGTTTCTCTCCACGGGCGGAGCGAAGGATATCGCGGCCATCGCAGATGTACGCTTCGATTTCGCCCGACCCACGCTGAGGGACGCACTGGACCTACTGAACAGTGCCTACACAGTTCGAAATGAGACCGGCAGCCCTGGCTATCCGTTAGAGAGACCGGAGAGAGACCGATGACAAATTCGGCCGACCCAAGGGCTATAGCGCAGGGCGCAAGCCGATGGATTACTGAATCGCGGGTCTACAACCTGGTGTGGCTGGGCCGGTGGGTGGAGCGGGCGCAGACCATTGCCCGTGTCGTCCGGTGGGCGGCGGCCCAGGATGCCTCTGCGGGCCAGCACGAAATCGAAACAGTCCTGCGTATGGCTGCCAGCATTCGGGGTTTGGAGGTTGCGCCTGACGAGACGGCTCTCGAGCTGCTGTTGACACGCGACAGCAGCGCGTCGCTTCGCGGTTGCCTCGTGGCGGCTAGGTTCAACGCGACGCACGTTGCGCCTGTGGAGGTGCTGCAGGTTCTGGGAACGGCGGTGGAATTGATGGACTCGGGCGGGCCGCCAATCGAGACTGCTGAAGACGTCATTTCGCTGATGGACCGCGTCCTGCCGACTCTGGATGAGTTACATTCCACCATCGAGGCAGCCTGGTTCCACTCGGCGCCGCTGTCGGAAGAAGAAGTCTACCGCAGGTTCGTGCAGCAACAGCAGCAGTAGCGATTTCTTGTCTCGGGGAAATCGCAGGGACCGCCAGCAGAGCTCCGCAGGTAGGGCCAGGTCACACCAGGATTCGTTTCAGGTGGTTGAACCCTCTTCTTGACCCTGGGCAGGGCCCTTAGACGGCATATGCATACGGCTAGGGAAGCCCGCTTTAGCGGGGATTGCGGATCAGCAGAAAGGCCAACCACCCAAATCGGAAAGCTACCCTAGGATCGAGCAGGCTTTCGACGCAGTGGGGCGCTCACTTCGTGCAAGTATCCCAGAATTTCCTGTTGGGAGCGCCAAAAGCCCGTTTCGTGGTAAGGGATGCCTCGTTCGCTACAGAAGTCCTTGACCACTTTGCGGGCCTTCCTCAACTGGTTGCGCGGCATGTTGGGGAACAAGTGGTGCTCAATCTGACAATTCAGGCCGCCATAAGCAAAGTCGATCACCGGGTTGGGAATCACGTCACGAGAAGTGAGAACCTGCTGACGAAGGAAGTCCAGCTTGGTTCCCGGCTCCAGGATAGGCATCCCCTTGTGATTCGGGGCGAAGACTGAACCCATGTAAAAGCCGGAAAGAGCCCTGTGGATAACGATGAACACGGCCGCCTGCCAAGGAGGCAGGAAAAGGAAGAGAATCCCCAAATACAGCCCGATGCCAACCAGCACGGCCGTAACTTCAGCCAGGGGATAACGCACCCTCTCGCGCCGCAACAGGTATATGATGCCGCCTCCCAAAAGGCTAAGAGATGTGAGCAGCAAGATCGGATAGAAGAGAAAGGCCTGGTATCTTACCGCCAGCCGGAAAGGCCATTTGGTATCCAGTGCCTGCTGCTCCGTGAACGCGAACACGGAGACCTCGATATCAGTATCAAGATCCAGTTGATTGGGGTTCCGGTGGTGAGCGCCGTGCTTGTCCTGCCACCAGCTGGGTGTCATTCCCGTTACGAGGCCTGCCAGCAGCATTACCAGGTCGTTCCTGAAGGCCGAACGGAAAATCTGGCGGTGTCCTGAATCGTGTCCTATGAAGCCGAAGTGGGCATAGACCATGCCGAGGAATACGGCGTTAAGCACTTGGACCCAGAACTGATCGAAAGCGATCAGCACTCCAACGCCCACACCCAAGGCCGCCAGAGAGCCAAACACCTTAATTGCGTAGTAGAGGTACTGGCGGTCCAACAGCCCTCGTTCGGCCATCCGCCTGCGGAGCTGCAGGTATTCTTTACTATCCGAGTTCCGGGAAGATTTCGTAACTGCCGCCTCGACAAATTGCCGGTTTGCGGTGACGGTCGGAATTCTGGTTGCAAGTCTTTGAGTAGCTATGCCTGGGTCTCCATTTAGTGGAATTGTGCAGATGTACCAGGAAACGACGTGATCCCAAGGACCATATTTTAGGTCACAGGTGCTTTTGCCGATCCCTCGCGAATGCGGGCCGCTGAATCGCGCAAGGAGTTGAGTACGATAGTCGGCGGGGCGGGGGCTACGGACGTGTAGTTAACGCCCATGTCCAGCAACTCTCGGGGAGACATTCGCAGCGAGGAGTGATTGACGGGGATGTAAACCTTGGCCTTCCCGACGGAATTTATCCGGGCCGCGAGATCTACGAATGTCTGGCGCAGCCGAGGGTCGTTCGGGTCAGTCATCCCGAGGGCGGTGGAAATGTCGGTGGGGCCCAAGGAGATTATATCGACACCATCGAGAGCGGCGATTTCTTCGAGTTCGTCCAATCCTCGCTGGTCCTCGGTCATGATTATGAGGAGGGTCTCTTCGTTGGAGGTCTTCATGTGCTCCGTCCACGGCACTGAGCCATAGCCGGCGGCACGGGTGGTTCCTGCGCCGCCCCGTTCGCCCTCGGGCGGGTACCGGACCGCGGCAACGGCGCGCCTGGCGCCTTCGACGCCCTCTATGTGAGGGGACCTGGATCCCTTGTGCACCGGCGTCAAGGACGCGGAGGATAGTCTTGGGATTGTTCTCCGGGACTCGAACTATGGGCGTAATGCCGCAGAGGTCGGCGACACGGATCATTTCGCCAATGGTTTCCATGTCGAACACAGAGTGTTCCATGTCGATAAAAGCACCGTCGAAGCCAGCGGCGGCAATAAATTTCCACGACAGCGGGGTCGGAGAATCCAACGTGACTGACAATGGCCAGTCCGCCCTCCCGCATGACTCGCTTAACCCGGTTTTCTTTCATGGCTTGAACCTCGCGGCCGCTGGGTAATTTCACGCCGGGTTAGAGTGTAGATAGAGGCGTGTTAACCTGTCAAACTCGCTATTTCAGGGCGGATGATTCTGAGGGTGAAGCAAACGGGGTCCTATCGGGAGGGTGGCGGAGTGACGACCTCAATGATGTCGCCAACGGTTACGGTTCCAGGGGCTTCTACAGCAGCATACACGCCGAAGTAGGGCGCACGGCTGGAAGGCCTGTAGGTGAGCAAGAACCGAGGTGTATCGAAGTCGCGCTGGCCGGTGTCAGGGTCAACGGTGGTGATGGCGCAGCGAGGGTCTGGTGCAACAATCCGCAGGCGCACCTCGGGGCCGATGGCCACAATTCCGCCCAGCCATGTATCCTCCTCGTGGGGAGAGCAGCCTTCGAGAGCGAAATTCGGTCGGAAGCGCCTGGCCTCAAATTTCTTGGCACCGTTGGTGAGTTGTCCCATCAGATCGATAGATGCCTGCGAAAGGAGGGATAGAGGGTATTCATCGAATGAAAGGCCAACGTCGTCGGTTTTGACCAGCCGCACGGGTCCGCCGCACAAAGCCGATAGCCTGTCGCTCCACTCGCCGGCCACCACTCGGCCAGGGACGAGACGCCCCCATATGGCGGTGCGGACGGCTTCCGCAAGTTTCACTGGACCAGCGATTTCATCGCCTTCCGGGAAGGTCAGCGATAGATGGTCGGCAGAGGGGTCGAATGCGGCGGTCACGAGGGCCAGCCTGGGGCGTTGTCTCTGGGTCAGCAGTCGCCCTCCGCAGTCGATCAGGTGGAAGCGGCGGTCCTCGGCGATGCCGGAGGGGCCGACGGTCACGGAGTCGCGAGGCTCCAGGGCCAAGGACTTTACTGCTGTCGTATAGATGGCGCTGATGCTGGGCAAATCGGCCAATCCAGTCGTGCCTGCAATATTACGGGGTTGCGGGTCGCTGGCCTAGAGTAACCTCCAACTCTTCGCGCTGTCCATCTCGCAATACTGCTAAGGTAATCGTGTCGCCTGGGCTGTTATGGTAAGTGAGATGGGCGATAAGATCAGTAGAATTAGTAACAGCGTGGGGACCAATCGCAAGGATTATGTCTCCGCCAGCGGGATAAGGGGCTCCGTCGATTTCCACCGAGGAATCCGATCCTCTCAGACCGGCCTTATCCGCCGGACTGCTGTCCACCGTTTCGATGATCAATGCTCCGCGAGTATTGTCGGGTAAACCAAGCTCATCGAGATACAGATCAGTGACCGTCGCGATGCTGACGCCCAGCCAGGGGTAGTTAAACTCTCCGTCAGAAATGAGAGAGGGAACAACCCGCTTGGCGATGTTTATGGGCACCGCCATCCCGACCCCGGAGAAACTACCCGAGCGGCTGATGATGCTGGTGTTGATTCCGATGACCTGGCCGTGCCGGTCAATGAGAGGTCCGCCGGAATTGCCCGGGTTGATCGCCGAGTCTGTCTGGATCGCCTCCGGTATGGTGAACTGAGTCTGGCCGCTGATGTTCCGTCCCACACCGCTGACAATACCAGACGTCATTGTAAATTCCTGGCCAAATGGTGCTCCGATGGCCACGGTCAGCTGCCCTACCTTTACCTCACTGCTGTCGCCAAGGTTCACGGGCTGCAGGTTCCAGTCACCTTTCTCCAACTTGATTACGGCCAAGTCTGAATGGGGGTCACCACCGACCACTTTTCCCTTTGCCTTAGTAGAGTCGGCAAAAATGACAATCACTTCTTCCGGGCGACCCACTACGCCCTCGACGACGTGGTGGTTGGTCACAATGTGTCCCTCATGGTCCCAGACAAAACCTGAGCCGGCGCCCCACAGCAACTCCTCCGGGACCCCCTGCATCCCCTGCAATGCGGACCTGGCTGGATTGGGCACTCGTACGTAGACCACAGAGGGCACGACGCTCTCGTAGATGTCGCTTAGCACACTCTCGAACGCCGCGAGCATTAGATTGGCGTTAGCATCGGATAAAGTAAATTGCTCGCTATCCCCGGCTGGTGCAGAAGTGGGCGTCTCGCTGCCAGACGGAACGCCGTTCGCCGCAATGGCGGTTAGGCTTTCAATCGTAGTCGTGGGAGAGGCTGCAGCCACAGAGATAGCAATTTCGGTAGTAGGCGCGCTGGTATTTGTAGACTGGGGGGCCAGGGTCACCTCTTCTCGGACCTCCGTTGGTTCAGAATCCGAAGGAGAGGAACCGTTACATGCCGTGAAGGTAGCCAACAGGAGGACCAGCGCCAGGAAAAACGCTGCCCATGAATTCGATTTCCGCATCCGCCGTACCTCCTTTCGTAACCTACCGATACTAATACGAACTTCGAATGCAATCAGATTTTAGTCGATAAAAGATGGGTCAATCTTCAAGAAAACTTGACGATGGCCTGCATCCAGGTTGTGGCTGGGGTTGGCTCTTATCGCGAATCGCGTATAATTTATATTATGAACTCCGATTTTGAGATGCAACAAAGACAGTGATCTCTCCAACATCGCAAATACGCAGATCGCCAATTCGAGGGCGCCTTCGCCACTTGGTACTGGTCTGCTCTGCTCTCGCGGTGTTGCTGGCACTGGCTGGCCCGCTGGTTGGGCAGGTGTCGGCGCAAGGGGCCTCTGGTCCGCACGCGCTGGTAATCACGGTCGACGGGGTGATCAATCCGGTGAAGGAACGATATATTGAGCGGGCAATCACCGAGGCGCAGGAGAATGCAGCCACACTGCTGATCATTCGGCTCGATACTCCAGGGGGACTGCTGGATTCGACGCGCAACATCGTCGAGCTGCTGCTGGCATCCCCGATACCCACGGCGGTATATGTCTCGCCAAGGGGAGCGCGGGCAGGATCGGCAGGTACGTTCATTACCGCTGCGGCCAACTTTGCGGTCATGGCACCCGGATCCAACATCGGTGCGGCCACCCCGGTGTCGTCCACCGGACAGGACCTCGACGAGACGCTGGCCAGCAAGGTTGAGAACGACGCTGCCGCCCTCATTCGCAGCATCGCCCAAGAGCGGGGTCGCAACGCGGAATTACTGGAGGACACGGTTCGCAATGCGGCGTCGTACAGCGCCCGTGAAGCGGTTGACGGCAACGTCGTGGACTTCATTGCCGAGGACATAGACGGTCTTCTGATTCAGCTTGACGGGCTGAGGGCCCAGATCGCGGGCGGCGAGGTTATCCTGGATACAGCTGATTTAGGCACCGTGGAACTCGAGAAGAATTTCCTGGAAACGCTGCTGGAGTTCCTGGCGGACCCGAACGTGTCATTCCTACTTTTAAGCATCGGCGGGCTGGGGATAGTCATCGAGCTGTTTAACCCAGGGCTTATTGTGCCGGTTGTTGTGGGAGGCATCTGCCTGATCCTGGGGTTCGTTGCCTTGGGCAATATGCCGGTCAACTGGGCCGGGGTGGCTCTCATCCTGCTGGCGATCGTGCTGGCTGGAGCAGAGGTAGCTGTAGTCGGGTTCGGCTTCCTGGGGGTTGCCTCCGCCGTGTGCTTGGTTTTGGGCGGGTTATTGCTGTTTGCACAGTTCGGCGACGCATCTCCGACGTTGCCGCACGTAGGCGTGAACCGGTGGCTTATCGCCGTGGTCGCCGTGGGCACCGGGGGGTGCGTGATATACTTGGCCCGCGAGGCAGTTAAGTCTCGCCATGGGCGACGAGCCGATCTGAGTGATTCTATCGTGGGTCAGACTGGTTCCGTCACCATTCCAATGGAGCCGAGGGGATCGGTTCAGGTTGCCAACGATACCTGGACGCGGTCAGCGCCGATGGAAGCCACATTTCAGCTGGTGAACAGGTCAGAGTAGTGTCGATCGACGGGCTGGTGTTGACAGTTGCCCGGCAGGATCCGACGGAATAGCTGAAACGTAATACACAGGAACAGGATAACTGGGCAAACCAGGGAGGGTGTTATGTCGGCTGGCCTCATAATGGTGCAGCAATACCAACGAATGGTGGTGCAGCGCTTCGGGACCTTTGTTGGGACCAAGGGTTCCGGGCTTCATTTTCTTGATCCCCTTTGTTTTTCATGGTACCAAGGTGGACCTGCGGGAGCGGGTGTTGCGGGTACCGACCCAGAAGTACATCACCGCTGATAACGTCGTGGTGGACATGGACTTCGTCATCTACTACCGGATTATGGAGAACATGGCTGATCGCGCGGTGCTGGAGGTGCAGAACTTTGAGTTGGCGGTAATCAATCTGGCCTTCGCAACTCTCCGAGCCGTGATCGGCTCGACTACGCTGGCGGACGCGCTGACCGAACGCGAGAGGATCCGTGACCAGCTGCAGGTGAGGATGGACGAGGTCACGGAACGTTGGGGCGTAAAGGTCTCGCAGGTAGAGATCAACGAGATAGACCCACCGCCCGGCGTGAAGGCCGCGATGGAGCGGGAAAAGTCCGCGGAGGCGATCAAGACGGCGGATATCACAGAGTCCGAAGGCGCCCGCCAATCCGCAATCAACCGTGCCGAGGGCGAAAAGCAGTCGGCCATCTTGAAAGCAGAGGGTGAGCGGCAGGCTGACATTCTGCAGGCTGAAGGCGATCAGCAGGCCGCAGTACTCCGGGCGATGGGGTTCAGCGAGGCTTTGGAGCGGATCAACGCGGTGGCCAACCAGGCAGACGGTCGGACCATGAGCCTGCAGTATTTTGACACTCTTAAGTCGCTGGGCGAATCCCCGTCCACCAAGTGGATATTCCCGATGGAGTTCACGTCCATGTTGGGCAACTTCATGTCCATGGGTGGGAACAGCAGCGGCAACGGGAACGACGACCGGCAGAACGGTGCGGGGTAGGGAGTTCTGACCAAGGTTCGCGAGAACTGAATCACGAGGTACTAATAGAACAGGCAGGCTGAACGCCTGCCTGTTTTATTAGTGCTCCTGCGTTTCCAGGAGCCTGATTGGCCGGTATTTGGCGCCTTCGGCCCCGGTTACCGGTCGTTGGGTTGGATGAGGCCGTAGTTGTTGTCGGCGCGGCGGTAAAGAACGCTGTAGCGGCTGGTCTCCTCGTCGAGGAACATGTAAAAGCTGTGGTCGAGGTACTGCATCTGGAGGGCTGCGTTCTCAACGGACATAGGCTCCATGTCGAACCGCTTGATTCGCACGAGGTCGCCGGTGGGGTCCAACACCGCCATATCGTCGTTGGGCGGCGGCAGATCCTCGGCTGCTAAGGCTTCCACGACCTGGTCTGCATCGGGCGCGTATCGGGACTGGCGTTCGCTGCGGTAGGTGTGGGCCTTCCAGCGGTCGAGCTGACGATCGAGGGCGTCTACGGTGGCGTTCACGGCGGCTCTTGCGCTGCCGGCGCGGCGCTGGGCCCTGAGGAGGTCTCCACCGACCTTGAGCGACACCTGCACCACAACCCGGTCCTGCTGGGAGCGGGTGGACTCTGAGGCCATTTCGACCTCAGCCCGGGCGATGGCGGGAAGGTGCCGGTCCAGGGAGGAGAGCTTGGCGGCCACGTGCTCCTTCATCGACCGCGTGATATCAATGTTCCGCCCCTGAATCTGCAAGTCCATCGTTTTCACCTCCCTTTTGCCCTGCCGCTGCACGGCATGGGCAGGTAATCCAACTCCTAAATGCAATTCGCGACGATACCACATTATACCGCAATATAGAATATCCAGATAGGAGTGGATACGGGCGTGTCTCCGGATCGCCAGAGCGGCCGAAGGGGGACGAATGGACTAACCATGCCGTGCCGTTAAGGCGTCCGGGTTGAGGGAGGACGAGCCCAAGAATTCGAGGGCGGCGGAGTAGGGTTCGGCGTTTTTCACCGCGACCTGGTCAAGAACCGAAAGCAGGCCTGGATCGGTCTGAACAAGGCGGCGCAGGCGGCGGACCAACTCCTCCTCGACTACCTCGAGGAACTCCTGGGTTCGGTGTTCGCCACGGCGTTTGCTCAAATTGCCACTGTCGCTGAGGTAAGCGAAGTGCTCCTCGAGCTTGCCCCAGAGTTGCTCGATACCTTGCCCCGTGAGGGCGGCGGTCATCATAACGGGCGGCACCCATTCGGGGGTTGTCAGGGACATATGGAGCATGGCAGTAACCGACGCGGCCATCTGGTCGGCGCCGTGGCGGTCGGCCTTGTTGACGACGTAGAGGTCGGCTATCTCCATCACGCCGGCCTTGAGGGCCTGGATGGCGTCGCCTGCCTCGGGTATCAGCGCCACAGCGACGGTGTCAGCGACGCCCATGATCCCCAGCTCGGTCTGTCCGACGCCGACTGTCTCAACGATGACTACGTCGTAGCCGGCGGCATCGAGGGCGCGGGCGACGCCCTTGACGATGCGTGGAATGCCCCCGGACTGGCCACGAGTGGCAATGCTGCGGATGAAGACGCCCGAGTCGAGGTAGTGGCGCTGCATCCGGATGCGATCGCCCAGCAGGGCGCCGCCACTGAAGGGGCTTGTTGGATCAACGGCGATGATGCCGACCCGCTTGTCCCGATCGCGCAGGTGCCGGGTGAGCTGGTCGACGATGGTGCTCTTGCCCGCTCCGGGAGGACCAGTCAACCCCAAGGTGTAGGCGCGCCCAGTGGCGGAGTCGATCTGCCGCATCACGTCGGCGGCGGACGGGTCGCCTCGCTCAAGCATGGATATGACTCGGGAGAGCGCTCGCTGCTCTCCGGCAAGCAGCCTGTCTGCCAGCTCAGGCAAAGCGGGTCAGCTCCGAAAGCTCAAGCGGGGTATGAGATCAGTGCGGGACAACTGGCACAGAATCAGCGATGGAATCCGTCGCCGAAGCCCCTGGCGCCGGAGGTGATCAGCAGGTCGGGTCGGTTGCCCCAGCGCTTCAGGAAGCGGCCAAAGTTTTTGCGAGAGAGCTCGTCCCGCTGATTGTCGTCCAGCTCGGTCCACTGCCGGTGCTCGTGCCTCACGATGGGCAGGGAGGAGTCGGCGAGAACGCGATAGCCCCTTGTCCTTGAACTGAAAGCAGTAGTCGATGTCGAGGTTGCGGTAGAAGCGGAAAACCTCGCGCATCAGACCCACATCGTTGACGGCTTCTCGGCGGAAGGACATGCAGTAGGCTTGCATGGCATCGGCATCGCCCTCGTCAACTTCTTCGTGGAAGTGCTGCATGTCATCGGTGGTCAAGCCGTAGGGGCCGAATATGCCGACGGAGGGGTCGCTGAGCCTATCGGCCACGGTGCCGAGGATGTCGCCCACGATCTCAGCGGAGCCGTCGACGATGATGATGTGCTTGCCGAGGCTCTGTTTGATGCCGATGTTCTTGCTGGCGGCGTCGCCGATGACGTGGTCGCAGTGGAACACCCGCAGCTTAGTGTGCTCGCGCTGCATCTCCTCGAGCATCTCGCCGGTGCCGTCTGTTGAGCCGCTATCGATGACTATGATCTCGGCGGAGTATCCCTCGGAGTTGCGCAACATGCCGTCTACGCAACGGCGAACGTCCTCGGGGTAACCGTAGGCGTTGAGGATGAAGGTGAAGTCGTACTCGGCGGGTTCGTCAAGGCGAGAAGGCACCTCCCGGGAGGCTGACACGGCATCCCACCTATCCAGGCGGCGCTCCAAGGGAGTCTTGGGACGGGCTCGGGAGCCGTCGGGCGCGTCTTCGATAACGTAGCCGTCGGAGGACAGGCGAGACCGGAGGGAGTCGGCTGACTCCCACGTGTGTTGTTCTTCAGAGCCTCACGTTCCCGCAGGGATGCCACTATCTCCTCGTTCACGCTGTTACTAGCAGGGGCCGTGTGAAGGTCGAGGCCGAACATCTCGTCAAACTCAAGGAGCAGGGCCATCTTGGCGCGGCCTGGTAGGGAGGAGCGAACCATTTCCCAGGTCACAGCGAGGGCGCCCGGCAGGTTGAGGTCTGAGTCAATGGCTTCCCAGAAACGGCGACGGTACTCGTCGGCCTCGGCAGAGTGGCCGTTACTACCCGGCTCCAGGCTCCACTGCCAGATGCGGGAGCGCAGGTTAGTCAGGGCCTTTTCGGCGGCTCTCAGAGAGGTGAAGGTGAAGTTCATGCGGTGCCGGTAGAGGACCGTCATGCACAGGTAGCGGAAGGAAAGGGGGTCAAAGCCGCGTTCGATCAGCTCTTCGATCAGGAACACGTTGCCGGACGACTTGGCCATCTTGGCGCCGTCGGCCAACAGGTGCTGGGCGTGGACCCAGTAGCGAACGTGCTGCTCGCCGAAGGCGGCCTCACTCTGTGCGATCTCGTCCTCGTGGTGCGGGAATATGTTGTCGACGCCGCCGGTGTGGATGTCGAAGAACTGGCCCAGGTATTTGGAGGCCATGGCGGAGCACTCGATGTGCCATCCGGGGAATCCCTCGCCCCAAGGGCTGTCCCACTTGACGTCGCGGCCAGGCTCGGCTGCCTTCCACAGGGTGAAGTCGCGGGGGTCGCGCTTCAGGGGGTCGGCCTCGGCGCGGACACCCTCGAGCAGGTCGGCGCCGGTGTTCCGGGAAAGCTTGCCGTATTCGGTGAAGCTGGGGACGTCGAAGTAGATGTTGCCGCCCCGCTCGTAAGCGTGACCGTTTTCCATCAGCGTCCCGACGATGGTGAGCATCTCCGGGATGTGCTGGCTGGCCCACGGGAAGACGTGGGCGTCCATGATGTTCAGGCGAGCTTCGTCAACGTGGAAACGGCCAGCGTATAGATCAGCGATTTCCTGGACGGTCTTGCCTTCGGCGAGGGCGGCGAGGATCATCTTGTCGCCGCCGGTCTCCACCAACTCCTGGCGCATGTGGCCGACGTCGGTGATGTTCTTGACGTGGTGGACCTGGAAACCATGGTGCATGAGAGCCCGGCGGATCCAGTCGGCCATCATATAGGTGCGGAGGTTACCGATGTGGGCGTCCCGGTAGACGGTCGGTCCACAGGTGTACATGCTCAGCTTGCCCGGCTCTGCGGGCTCGATCTCTTCTACCCTCTTCGTCAGGGTGTTGTAGATACGCAGCAACGCAAATACCCCTTACCTCCGAATTGCGGTAGTTTACCACGGGGCAGAATTGGCTGCCAGTTTGGGGCATTTTATTTTCTGGTCAATCGCTCTTTGCGCAGAGGCGTTAGCAACAGATAATCCAACCGGGCTACGTGTGCCGGACCGGGAGATCGCGGCCCGGTTGCCGGATAGATCGCTGGGATAAATAGGACGAAATTTGTCCCATCGATTCCCATTTTGTCCCATTCTGTCCCCATTTCCCACTGCCGGCATGCCGGATTCAAAGCTAAATTGCCGCATTTGAGGTGTCGTCAGGCTGAAATTTTCAAATCCTTCCCATTCTGTCCCATGTTGTCCCACTGGGCTGCCGGGCGGGAGTTTAGCAGCAGTGGTAGGCCCCGTGAGTCGGGAAGAGCCTATGTGATGCCGGATTGGAAACATAGAACAATTGTACGCCAGGCTCCAAAGGATGGCAAACAGGGGGGATAGTCGACCAGGGCAATCGAGTTTTATTTCTCGGGACACAAAATTGGTCTGAATGGCGGTGGAGATGGGAGTGGCAGTGCCTCCTTCGGTTCCGAGTGCGAGGGTAGACGGGGGTTTGGATTCCCGCAGGCGCGTGAATGACGGGCTGCTCGGACGGAGGGGAGTCCGCAAATGATTCGTCCCTTCGATAAGTTCAGGGCAAACCGAATAACCTGTAGTAACTATGGTTGCCAGCTACTTTGCTATTTGACGGCGATAGCCATACCCCCGTGGGCGGTACCGAGCCTTACTTGCGCTGTCACTGGTTTGTGGCGGCGGATCGTTTTGGTTCGATTCCAAATGCACTTCCCTTATCAGGTCTTGAAACTCCCTAATCCTGCGACGCACTTCACGCTCATTCTTGTCGATGAGCTCCTTGAAATAAGCCTCGCCGTCAGCAGCCTCTTCACGAGTGTCGACGACTTCAAACCAGACGAGGAGCGGATTCTTTCCCTTAGTGCTCCTAGTTTTCCCGTCGCGGTGTTCGCTCATACGCTCCCTGAGCTCACGCGTATGCCCCGCATAGAACTTTCCACCATCAAGTTTCAGGATGTATATGAAAAATACATCACCTTCATCGTCCGCAGCTTCCCATTTGGGATTGTATTCCGGCTCGTACTTCCCTGAGCGACTGTTGCTTTGATTCTTGTTCGCAGCATTGCAGTCGCGACAAAGCGGGTAGCTTGAGTCCTTAAATTGTCCGCAACTTGGACACCCGTCGATTTCGCCTTTTTCTTTAGCCCCGTTGTGGGACCGACACAACTGGAACCATGACGCAATACTCTGCTCACAGTCCTGATAGGCACAGATTCCGCTTGATTGCCTGGTTGCCATATTGACTATTCTCCATCAAGGTCCGATACCAGAAAATGGTGCGTTTAGACTACCAGTGGCCTATTCTAAAATCAAAGAGTACCAACATCAGAGTGTCTGGAATGTGGTTGGCTGGATTCCGGCGAGAGCCGGAATGATGGGGTGTGTGGGCGATGCGGAAAGAGGGCCGGAGGGATCCGTTGGTGGTTCGACAGGCTCACCACCAACGGATTCTCGAGTGCGGCCAAAAGGAATATCCCGGTGCACTGATTGCGACCGTGCGGGGCTATTCGCCGTGCTGGACTACGGCTCCGGCGGCTTTCAGGGCAGTGATTTCTGCGGGGGTGTAGCCGGCCTCGGCCAGGATGTCGTTGGTCTCGGCGCCCAGGAGAGGGGTGGGGCGGCCGACGCGAGCGCCGGCGTGTCCGAGAGCTGGGCGACGACACCGAGGTGGTCGGCCATTCCCATGCCTGGGTGGTTGCGGCCGACGATGAGGCCGGCCTGACGGACGCTGGAGTCGCCGTGGTAGTCGGGGATGGCGAGGTTCTCGATGGCGCTTATGCCCACCTGGTTGAGGGTGTCTATCCAGCCCTTGCGAGAACCTGAGATAAATATCGCAGAGAGAGCCTCGGCCAGGGCACTATCGTTGGTCAGCCTGGATCCGACGTTGCGGAAGCGTTCGTCGGAGGCGAGGTGGGCGAACTCCGGGAGGGAGGTCAGAGCGGCCCAATCGGAGTCGCTGGGGCAGTGGAAGCACAGCCAGCCGTCGTCGGCCTGGTACAGACCGGACAGGGCGGATAATCCGCGAACACCGAGGCCCTCGGGATCGTTGCGCTGGTAACCCTCATAGTCGAGGAAATATGGGGACTGGAGCAGGCAGGCGGTGAGGGCGAGGCCGCCGTCGACGGACTGGCCCATGCCGGTGCGGTTTCGCTCGTGGAGAGCGAGGGCAATGGAGTAGGCCCCCAACAGTCCGGTGCCGTAATCGTTCATGGGGTAGGGCAGGAGCTGGGGGGCGTCATCGCGGCCGCCTCGGCGGACCTGAATGCCGGTGGTGGCCTGGGCGAGCTGCTCCCAGCCGGGGCGCTCGGCCCAGGGGCCGTCGTAGCCGAAGCGTTGGTCGAGGCGTAAACGATGTCGGGCTTGCGTTTGCGGACCTCATCGTAGCCGATGCCCATACGGGCCATGGCACCCTTGCGGTTGTTTTCGACTACGACGTCTGCAGTCTCGAGGAGCTTCCGGAAAACGTCTCTGCCCTCGGACTTCTTGAGGTCGATCTGGATGCTGCGCTTGCCCCGGTTGACATCGAGATTGCCGCCGTAGTCGTAGGGCCGGCTGGGGTCGTCGATCTTTATGACGTCGGCGCCGAACTCGCCGAGAGTGCGGCCGCAAGTGGGACCGGCGAGCACGATGCAGAGGTCAAGGACGCGGACGCCCTGGAGTGCGGCCAGAATCTCCTCACGGCTGTCGAATCGCTGGCCGGGGGGCGCTGCCCGAATTTCTGCGAGAGCCGACTGAGTATGTTCCCCGAGTGTTGGCGCGCGGCGTGGAGCAGGGCCGGGAGTACCGCGGAGGCGAGTTGGAGGGCCGGGTTGTTTCATCGTTCCGTGCTCGGCGTCATCGACCTCGACAACCATGCCACCAGCGATGGCGTGCTCATGGACTAGCCACTCGTCGACGGTCTTGCAGACGGTGCAGGCGCCGCCGGTCTCGGCGATGGCGTCCTCCCACTCCTTAGCGGTCTTTTCCCGGAACAGGTTGGTAACCCGGTCACGCCACAGCTCAATGGTATCGGGGCTGACATCGGCGCCGTATAGGTCCTCTAGATCCTCTATCCACTCAGGGCGGCCGGCGGCCTGGAGGAACTGGCTGGCGAAACGCTGGTACATACCATGGTTCTGGACGTAGCGGCCATCGGCGCATTCGTACTGATGGGACATGACGTTACGGGGAAGGGTGAACAGGTCGGGCGGACTGATGTCGTGAAAGTTGGAGAGATGGCGACCCATGGCAGCGAACATGGCGCTGTGGAGAGGCACCTCGATGCGCTGGCCCCTGCCGGTGCGCTGGCGGGCGATGAGGGCCATGGCGACGGAGACAGAGCCGATGATGGCGGCGAAGTTGCTGGCGGAGGGCAGGGGCAGGAAGAGGGGCTCGTCCATACCGGGGACACCCTGGTGGGCGCCGGTGGCCGCGCTGACGATGGTCTCCCAGCCGCGGTCGTTGCGATGGGGGCTGTCCTCACCGAAACCAGGCAGGGAGCAGTAGACGAGGCCGGTGTTGCCGCCAGTGGACCGTAGCCGATGCCGAGGCGGTCGGCGACGCCGGGTCGGAAGTTCTCGATGAGGACGTCGGCCCAGTTGATGAGCTCCTGGGCCTGCGCCAGGCCGTCGGCGGACTTGAGGTCGAGCTCGACGGAGCGCTTGCTGCGGTTCCAAGTGGCGAAGGCGGGCTCGGTGCGGGCCGGGTCGCCGCCGGGACGTTCGACCTTGATTACGTCGGCGCCCTGCTCGGCGAGAAGCATGCCGAGCAGCGGTCCGGGGATGTACTGGCCGAACTCGACGACGCGGACGTCGCGAAGGGCGCCCTGGGTTTCGGTATCGTTGTGAGTGGTGGTCATGGTTGGTCTCCGTGATGTTGGGTTGTGGGAGAGCTCAATGGCGGTGGATTTTCGTTTCCAGCTTTACCATCCGTCCAGTCTTGGCCGATTCGATGGCGGCGTCGGTGATCTGGGCAGCGTGGAGGCCGTCGTCGCCGGTGGCGGCGGGATCGCGGTCGTGCTCCAGGGCGTCGCGGAAGTCGTTCAGCTCGGCGACGAAGTTTGCTAGGTAGTTGTACTCGTAGGATGCAATCTCGTTGGCGGAGGCGCTGACCAATTCCATGCTGCCGAGGCGGGCTTCCCAGACGGTCTCCTTGGTGGCGATGCGCCCGTCGGAGCCGTAGAGGGCGAGGTCGTTCTGGGTGTCAGGGAGCATGCGGCCGCACATGACCTGGGCGATGACGCCGCTGGCCATTCTGAGGGCTATGGTGGCTATGTGCTCGAGGGGTTGCCGGGTGGTCTGGCCGTCGGTCATTGCTACGACCTCGACGATCTCTTCCCGGAGGAGGAAACGAAACAGGTCGAAGACGTGGACGCCGAGACCCACCAGGACGGAGGCGTCGCCGATGAGCTCCGGGGTCTCCCACCATTGGCGGAGGCCGCTGCGGGGCAGGTGCTCGGGCTCGCCGCGATTGCCGCGTCCCCACTGGCCGTGGGCGAGGCGGATGCGGCCGATGGCGCGGTCGTCGATGAGTTGGCGTGCCCACAGGTGGGCCGGGTGGAAGCGGAGCTCAAAGCCCATGCCCAGCTTGACGCCGTGATCGCGGCAGGCATCGACCATGGCGGCGGCGTCGGAGACGGTGGTGGCCATAGGCTTTTCGGCGAGGACGTGCTTGCCGGCGGAGGCGGCGCGGATCGTCTGCTGGGCGTGCAGGTAGTTTGGGGAGGCGACGAAGACGGCGTCTATGCGAGGGTCGGCCAAGAGGGCGTCGAGGTCGCTGCAGGCGGCCGCGGCGCCGTACTTTTCGGCAAAGGCGTCGGCCCGAGCCTGGTCGCGGCTATAAACGGCAACGAGTTGGGCGTCATCGGCCAGCTTCATGGCCGGGGCGATTTTTAGGTCGGCGTGGGAGCCTATGCCAATGATTCCCCATCCGAGAGACAAGGAGGTTCTCCTATTCTTAATGACCGATGAGGGCGGTGCTGCAGGCCTGAGCGATGGTGACCGTGGCGCCCGACGGGACTTGACGGAGTTGGGCAGGGTCGCCGGTGATTCTACCCACGACCTCTACTCCGCTGGCGGCACGTATCTCGTCGCCGCGGCTGGCAGGGGTGGGGCCGAAGAACATGCAGAAGGCGTTGCCGGGGGGCCAGAAGGCGAGGTCTCCGAATTCAACGACCTCGTTGAGATTTTCGCCCTCAGCCTCGACAGGGATCCGGAAGTAGATCTCATCGCCCCATGTGTTGCCTGGGCAGGAGATCGGCAGGGCGCTCCAGATTGCCTCGGCGGTGGCGCTATCGCTGAGTTCGGCGTCGAGGGTCGCGGGGCCAGCCGTGATGACTATGTTTCGCGGCATTTGAGTGTTCCCCGACTACTTGCCGTGCCAGTCGGCGAACCGGGCGGGGGCGAAGTTTTCGATGGGAAGGGACGTTTCGTCCTGGGTGATGAGATCGGCTACTGCTTTTCCGAAGGCAGGGGCGAGCAGGATGCCCTTCTTGCCTGCACCGGTGGCGAGCCAGGCGTTGTTGTATCCGGCGGCCCGGCCGATGATGGGCAGCCAGTCGGGTGTGACGGGGCGCAGGCAGGCGGTGTGCATGACCAGCTCGGCGTCGGCTATGGCTGGCAGAATACGCTTGATACCGGCGAGGATGCGGTCGCGGGTTTCGGGCAGGGGCCGGCGGTCAAAGCCGCGCCAGTCTTCGGTGGTGCCGCACCACGCGAGGCCGTCGGGCTTCGAGTAGATGCTGGCGCCGCCGCCGGACACGTCGTGCTCCAAGGGGTCTCCGGCCAGTCGCATGCGGAGGATCTCTCCCTTGAGGGGGTCGACAGGGATGTAGGTATTGAGCCAGCTCTCGGCTCGGCGGGACCAGGGGCCCATTGCCAGCACGACCTGTCCGCATTGGACCTCGCCGTCCTCCAGTAGCACTTGGGTGACTTGATCGCTGCGGATTTCCAGACCGCGGACGGTGCCGGGGCGCAGGGTGGTGCCTGTGCGCTGAGCGGCTGCGGCGAGGGCCTGGGTGAAAGCCTGACTGTCGAGGGAATAGTTGCCGCTTTTGAATATGCAACCAGCGAAATTGCCGTTGATGCGCGGATCAAGTTGGTGCACTTGGGATTCGTCAGCCATTGTGGCGGAGAATCCCTCGGTGGCAGTGAACCTCTCTGCGATCTCGTCCAACTCAGGCACGGCAGACTCGTCGAAGGTCAGCATGATTTCAGAGGTCCGGCGAAGCTGGTAGTCGATTTCGGTCAGCGTCTTCAGCTCGGGGTAAAGGCCCTTGTGGAGGTGAAAGGATTCCCAGGCGAAATCGGCCAGAGGGCCGGGGATGCCGTTGCCGGTGAGGGGGTTGAGGCCGCCGGCGGCGTATCCGGATGCCTGAGAGGCGATGCCCTCACGTTCAATGATGGTGCTACTGAGTCCGGCCTGTCCGAGATAGTACGCTGCGGCGCAGCCTGCGGCCCCGCCTCCGATGATTGCTACGTCAGTTGATTCGGGCATATTGTCGACATCCGTTGTATTCGTTTAGGTCGCAGGGGTGCGGTGCCGTGGCGCAGCAACACCGTCAGGGTTAGAATGGATTTTGGGATATGTGGCCGGGAGTATAACTATGCCAATCTACGAATACTATTGCGCCAAGTGTGATGTTGATTTTGAGCTGATCCGCCCGGTCTCGCAGTCTGATTCGGCTGCGGAATGCAGCAAATGCGGAGAACCGGCGAAGCGGCAGCTTTCGAACTTCGCTTTCCGCTCCAACACCTTTACGGCGCCAAAGTTCAGGGCCTCGTTGGAACAGCCGATGCGGTCCCGGCCTGAAACACCTTCTGAGCCGTCCTAGCGGCCCTCGGCAGCAGCCTCCGCACGGGCTTCGTTGCAGATTATGCAGGTGCAGGCGGCCCGCAGAGCGCGATAGGTGTAGATGCCGGTGTAGTGGGTGTCGTCCCACAGGAACTGCATTCCGTAGTTGCCCACAGGAATATGATCGACGGCACGCACATCCTGCGGGACCGAGGCCGCGTCCAAGATGGGCTTTCCCGTCATCTCCTCGACGCAGCTGGCGCAGGGGCAACGCAGCCGCAGGAACCGATGAGGGTAGGGGCTGCGATGCCCATCATCCCAGAGAATGATAATGGCGCTGCCTTCCAAGTTAATGTCGCTGGGGAATACCGGCTGTTGCGTCAATTCTTCACCACAGTGAACGGGATTCGGAACTTTCCGCTGACCTGAATCCGCCGGGCAAGCGGGTTTGCCTCCTCGATCAGGATTGAGGAGGCGCCTGCACGTCGGCGAGGCGCGCAGGGCGCGGCAGTTCGTCGGGGTCGATTGTGATTTCGATGATGCTGGGTTTTCCTGCGCTGAGGGCCTCCAGCATGGCGTTGCCGACGTCTTCTGGCCTTTCGACGTAGAAGCCTGCGCCGCCGAAGAGCTCAGCATATTTGTCGTAGCGAGGGTTCAGCGTATCCGCGCCCACGTACCGCTCGTTAAATGCGTAGCGCTGGTATGCCTTTTCCGATCCCCAACTGCCATTGTTCATGATGACCGTAACGACCGGCAGATTATATTCAACGGCAGTAGCAAACTCTTGGGCGTTAAACAGGAAGCCTCCGTCGCCGTTGAAGTTGACCACCGGGCGGTCAGGCGCGGCGAACTGGGCACCAAGGGCAGCGGGGAAACTGAAGCCGAGACCGCCGAGATCGAGGGAGGTCATCAGGCTGCGGGGCTGGAAGTAGTCGAGGCGGTCCTGGCCGAAATTGGGGGCGAGACCGGCGTCGAGGGCCACGATGGCATCGCGGGGCATTACCTTGCGCAACTCGGCGTAGACTCGCTGCGGCTTCATGGGCAGGGTGTCCAGTCGCTCCTCGGCCCGCAGGCGGTCGGCGCGCCGGGCGGACCAGCTCTTGACCTCGTCAGCCCACTGGGGATTGACTCGGGGTTCCCTGCGCCTCAGTTCCTCCAGCAGGCCCTCGGAAACGGCGGCGGCATCACCTTCGATGCCGACTGTAACCGGATAGTTGCGACCGATCTCCTCTGGATCTATCTCGATCTGGATGATCTTGGCGTCGGCAGGAATGAAGCGGTTATCGTAGAAAGTTGTTGACTGGCTGAGACGGGTGCCGACGGCCAGAATGACATCGGCCTCACGGACGGCCTCGATCCCCTCAGCGGAGCCGAGGCGACCCAGGTGGCCGAGAAGTTGGGGTGGTCGGAGGGCACGGCGTCGGCGCGGCCGTAGGAGGTAACGATACCAGCCCCAGTGAGCTCGGCGAGACGGCAAACAACGTCGCCCGCGTTGCTCCACTGCACGCCACCGCCAGCGAGGATGACAGGCCGCTGGGCGGACGCCAGCACTTCGGCGGCCCGCTGGATCAGGCCAAGGTCGCCACGGGAGCGCGTCTGCCCTGGGCGGTAGGCATCGGGAGGCAGCAGGTCCAGTTCAACCTCAGCGCCGGGGAGGAGGTCGCGAGGGATGTCCAGCAACACTGGGCCCATCTTGCCAGAGGTGGCGACCCGGAAGGCATGTCGCAGGGCGTCGGGCAGGCGATCGATTCGGTTGATCGGGAATGCGGCCTTGGTAATGGGCTTGAACAGCGCGACTTGGTCGAACTCCTGGGTGGAGTTCCGGTACTGGTCGCGGCGAGAAGCAGAGGGAGCGATGACGACCACGGGGGAATGGGCGACGAATGCGGAGCCAATACCATAAGTCAGGTTGAGAACACCAGGGCCATTGGTGGCGAGGCAGACGCTGGGAGCGCCGGCAATACGGCTGAACCCGTCGGCCATCAGAGCAGCGCCCTGCTCATGGCGGACTCCGACAAACTGCATATCGTCGCGGTCATACAGAGGATCGAGGATGTCGAGGAATGAAGAACCGACGATACCAAAGATGTGGGAAACCCCCTCCTGTTTAAGGAGCTCGATTACTGCCTCGCCTGCCTTGAGTCGCTGGGTCAACGCTGTCGCCTCCGGTGTTCCAATCCGGTGCAAAGTTTAACACAATGAACCTGGCGCTCCCCTTGCTTTGCGCTTGCTGTGAGAATTCCATAAAATCGAAGGCAAAATGATCAGGGCTAACCAGGCCCGGAGGGAATACCGATGGATTACGAGCACCTTCTGGTGAAAGTGGAAGACCGCGTCAAGATCATCACGATGAACCGTCCCGAGGTCCTGAATGCCATGAATCACCTGCTGGACGAAGAGTTGCACCACGCGGTGATGTCGGCAAACGAAGACGAAGGAGTTGGTTGCATAGTGATCACAGGCGCGGGGGAGCGGGCCTTCTCCGCAGGTGGAGACATTCACGAGCAGCGGGCGCATGCGGTGGAATTGACCGAGGAGCAGCGGGAAGCCAACTCCCTGTTGTACCAGAACTGGATGTACGACATTTCTGCGTCGCCGAAGCCGGTCATCGGGATGATGAACGGGCTTGCCTATGGCGGCGGGGCCGTGCTTGCATCTTGCCTTGATATGCGGGTCGGGTGCGAAAACACCAGATTTCGCTTTCTTGCGGTTGCGTACGGACGCATCAACAGCACCTGGACGTTGACCAACCAGGTGGGGTGGCCCACCGCCAAGGAATTTCTGTTTACTGGGCGCGTTGTGGAGGCCGAGGAGGCCTACCGGGTCGGTTTGCTCAACCACCTGGTGTCTTCTGCGGAACTGCGGGACAAGACAATGGAGATTGCCACGACGATAGCTGGCCACCGTCCGGAGTCGGTGATGGGCATAAAGCAGATTCTGTTGCAGGACAAGGCTGCCGATCTACGGGGCATGTGGGAGAACGAGGTCGACTTCACGGCCAAGGTCAAGGGATATGGGGTGGAGCAGGCGTTCCCGGAGTTCATCGCGCGGCGCGGGCGGGAACTGTAGGGGTAGACAATATCGGTAATTACTGCCGAACAGACAACTGATTTGCTGTCAATTGACAAGCGACAGGCGACTAATTAGTATTCTCTGGTGATACAGTCGTTCCGGCATAGCGGTCTTGAGGCGCTATATCACGGGCGTGGTGCCAGATATGTATCCCCACACCATGCGCCAAAACTGCAGCGCATTCTTGTTTTCCTAGACCGGAGCAGAGGGCCACAGGACATGAACCTGCCCGGCTTCAGTTTGCACCAGTTGTCAGGTCGGCTGCGCGGGTACTATGCAGTCTCAGTTTCGGGTAATTGGCGGGTAATCTTCCGTTTCGAGGACGGCCATGCCACCGACGTAGACTACTTGGACTATCACTGAACGGAGAGTGGAAAAAATGCCGATGCACAAACCGCCACATCCGGGGGAAATTGTGAAATGGGAGTGCCTTGAACCCTTAGGTTTGTCTGTAACCAGGGCGGCGAAAGGGCTGGGCGTGACTCGTCAAGCGTTGTCGGATTTGATAAATGGAAAGTCCGGTATTTCTGTGGAAATGTCTATCCGCTTGTCCAAAGCCTTTGGCTCTACACCTGAAACCTGGTTGGGAGTTCAAATGGAATACGATCTCTGGCAGGCTCTGGGACGAGCCGAAGGCATGGTAGTTGAGCGGTTTTCTCCGGCGACCACGTAAGGCAGCTACTGTATGGCTATCGGGTCACAGAGAAGGATCAGCTAGCGGTGAGGTGCCCTTGGTTGTTTTTTGGGGTTGGTGTGTGGGTTGTTTGGGGGGGGGGGGGTTTGGTTTGGGTGTTTGTTTTTTGTTTGGTTTTGGGGTTTTTTGGTTGGTTGTGGTTTTGGGGTGGGTTGGGGGGGGTTGGGGGGGTTGGGGTTGGTTTTGTGTGTTGTGTGTTGTGGGTGGGGAGGGGTCGTGTTTGGGGGGTGGGTGTTGGGGGGGGGGTTTTTGGGGGGGTGTGTGGGGTGTGTTGTTGTTTGTGTGTTTTTGGTTTGGGGTCGGCGGTGGGAGCGAGGGTCTGGATAGGGAGTGAGGAGGGAGCGAGCAGGGACTGCAGAGTCGGCGTGTGGTGAGGGTCGATGCCAGTGAGGATTTTGGCGTGGAGGTTGATTTTGCCCTCCAGCGCGATGGACTCGAAGAAGTGTCGCACCAGCGAACCAGGCAGGGTCTCGACCATTGAGTCGTCTATGGTGGTCTCGATGACGGCGTAGCCGCGCCCTGAGCAGTCGAGGGCCACCATCGCCAGCGTTTCGTCGAGTGGCACGATGGCGTGGCCCATTCGGCGGATGCCGCGGGCGTCTCCTATTGCCTCGTTCAGGGCGCGCCCCAGCGTGATGCCCACGTCTTCGACCAGATGATGCCAGCCGGTGTGCAGGTCCCCTTCAGCCTTGAGGGTGATGTCGATCAGGCCGTGGCGGGAAATCTGGCTGACCATGTGGTCGAGGAAGCCGTTGCCGGTGTCACTTCGTAGACGCCCGCGCCGTCGAGGTTGATCGAAAGACGAATGTCCGTCTCGCCGGTGGTACGGTTCAGCGTGGCTACGCGGCCCCCGGGAACCGCTGGGAGACTGGTGGAGTCCGTCATTCTAGGCCCCCGTTAGCTCGGCCAAAGCCGCTGCCATCGCGTCGTTTTCCCCGGGAAAGCCGACCGAGGTGCGAATGCAGTCGATCAGCCGTTGGACCAGTGGCGGAGGAATATGCCGCGGTTGCACAGGCCTTCGAACACCTTTGGGCCACTTCCCTCGGGAAGCTGGCAGAGGATGAAATTGGCCTGAGAGGGGTAGGGACTGACGGTCGGGATGGCGTCCAGCAGGCCCATCATACGGTCCCGCTCGTAAACGATGGCGTTTACCCGCTCCAGCAGGGCGGGCATGTCTTTCAGCGACGCAATCAGCGCGACCTCGGCGGCGAGGTTGACGTTGTAGGGTGGCTTCACCGACATCATCATGCCAGCCAGGTCCGGGTGCATGGCGCCGAGCCCTATTCGCAGGCCCGCGAGACCGGCCCACTTGCTGAAAGTACGCAGGACGACCAGGTTCGGATATTCGTGGAGCAGAGGCATCAGGGTCTGGCCGCTGAACTCGTAGTAGGCCTCGTCCACGATGACGAGGATGCCTGTATCCAGCAGAGCTCGGACATCGGCCTCAGTGGGCATATTGCCGGTCGGGTTATTGGGGGAGCAGACCACTATGGCCTTGGTGAGGGACGTGATGGCCAGCTTAATCCTCTCCAGGTCGATGTCGAATTTTTCGTCGCGAGCAACGGAGATGGCCTGGCCGCCGCAAATCTCGGCCCCCAACGAGTACATTCCGAAGGTGGGGGTGAGGTTGATGATGTTGTCTCCTGGGCCGACGAACATGCGGAACAGCATGTCGATGAGTTCGTCGCTTCCATTACCCGCGATGATGCAATCGGGGTCGACGCCGACGTAGCCAGAGAGGGCCTCTCGAAGCTGGCGCTGCTCGGGGTCGGGGTAGTGGTTGAAGTTTGGGAAATCGGCCAGAGCCTCCGCCACAGCAGGAGAAGGACCGTAAGGGTTTTCGTTTCCGTTCAGCCGGATGATCTTGTCCTGGGGAATGCCGGCCCGCTCGGCCATGACCTCGACGGGCTCGACGCCCTGGTATATGCCCAACCCGCGGATGTGGGGCAGCATCGACTGTTGAATCTTTTCGGTGAATTCGGGCATCTCTACCTGAC